AGAACCATGGGTGTAATGGAGTCTGAACAAAGGACCTGATCCCAGGGACGATGAGTGGAGATAAATTCACTCTTCGATTAAACTAGCACATACCTGGGTTGAGGTGGCATGATCTAGGGGGTCATTGAGACTCGATAATATTTGCGACATGGCATTCTCTTGAATTACTCCTGACCTTTCAGAGGTAGGGCATCCTCTGGGACTACCCCTAACCCTTTGGGATGATTGGGGATCATTGGTTAGGTGTGGTAAGAAGAATGGTTCACCGAAAGGTTGGTCTCCTCTTTGGGGTTTTCCCCATCCTCGGAGAGGTCACCTCCTCGGACAAGGTACTTAGAAGGAATATACCCTATATGCCTTGCACATGGGCTCCATCCTACATCATGAGGTGCCTATAAATAGCACCTAACCATAGCTTTATAAGGGATGGATTTTTTGGAGAGACAATTTTTTGGAGAACTAATTTTCCTTCTCCATTATCTATCTTGAGAGTGAAAGTGGGAGATTCATGAGAGAGCATTGCCATTATTCTCTCTCTAACTACTTTGCCTTCTTCTTCACCCAATCTCTTATCTCCATTATCTCTTCGCTATTGTGTTTCTAGTTACGACTGTTGAAGAATCTAAGCCTCGCATCATTTCTAGAGAATTTGGGGTTTTCCGGTGATCTTCGAAGATCTTCGAATTTTCCGGCGAGCCTTTGAATTTTCTGACAACATTCTTGAACCCTCTCATACATAGTTTGATCTTATTGTTCATGGATTTGTAGATCTGCTCAAGGCATAAAAATTTGCATCCTTCTTTATTTATGCAGATGGCAAGTTTCGTCATAGACTTCCCATAGTCACTGCAAATATTCACCAAGAGAATCTCGTCATTGTCTATCAATTTGTCGAGCATTCTGCAGTCCATGTACCACTTGATTCGGTCAGGGTGACACTAGAACTAGTTCTTTTGGAGAAGGTGACAAGTGTTAGAAAAGTTGATCTGACTATTGATTCTAGACTTGAAATAGTTGCGTCAATTGATCTGTTGAAGCAACTCAATGCCTCAATTCCCGGTATGGAAGAAATCCGGGAAAGGGCTCACAAGGGAGCAATGTTGTTGGAGGATGGACAGAACAGGGTGAATGAAGGGAAGAACATTCTGTTCTCTACTATTAGTGAAATTCCAAACATATCAAGTGAAATTGAGACCCTCAATTGGAAGTCGGTTTGGCTTTTGGCGTTGTGCTTTCGATTGGTTCCTTGCCTACTGAATTTTCATTTATGTTTGTTTTCTTTTTTCTTGTCTTTGCAGCCCTGGTGTTCCTTGTCAACAGGGCTTTTTTGTAGCATCTCTTCATATATTCAATAAAAGGGTAATACACCACTAGTTCTTTTAATTTGAGCAAAGTTTTATTTTTGTGTTCATACGTAGTCTTTTATTTTATTTCATCAATTTAAATCTTATATTTCTAATTGTGTTGCATTGTGGTTGTACATTAATTGTTGTTAACATTTTGGATGGAAAAACCAACTAGACCTAGTCTAGTTGGCTACTATAACTTTTTTAAGGGTTTAGTCAGGAAGTCATGTGTTCAACTATCTTAACGGGAGTTGAGTTAAGGGGGCAAGCACTTGATACTTTGCAAAGGGTGGGAAAGCTAACTCTCATAGGTGCTAATTTAACAAATAACAACCAACTTTTGTCGATCAACAAAAAAAATAAAAAAAATAAAAAAAATTTTGGATGAAAAAAAAAATCATGTATGTTTCATTTATGGATTTTATCAATTTCTCCACAAAAAAGAAAACTAAATAAATTATTGGTACCTGTAGTTCCTTCAAAATTTCATTTTGATCTCTTAAGTTTTGCACCTATCATTTTTTCGAAAATGCTAACGGTTACAGACAAAAGAACACATTGCATTTTTTTAAAAATTTTATTTTAATCAACAAAAATTAAAATTGCTTTATTGATAAAACAGTACTATAAATAGTTTGACAATTTACATCAATAAAAGACCTAGAGCAAAGCATGAAAGCTTAAAAATGCCGGACCAACAAGATTTGTCCAAACAGAGACAAATAACATACATGACTATAGCTCCTAAGGGGCGGGTTTAGTGATTAGAGATTAGCCCAAAAACACTTTCACTGGGGTTCGATCTTCTATTGCCCCTCGGCGTGGCACCCTTATACGTGCCTCAAGTAATGTCTTAGCTTGGGGCTGGGGACTTATAGAACCTGCGTGACCTTTTTTTTTCACAAAAAAATAAAATATAAAAACATGCATGACTAAGATTCTTGCTTCGTCTTCATGGTTTTCTTAACCAAAACCCTCTTTTCAAATTTATTCCTTCATACCATAGTTCTAAATACTAGCCGTTATGTAACGCTTTTTCAAGTCCTGAGTCGAATACACCCTGTTACAGGCTAGTACATTTCCGTTAATGATTTTTAAAATTTCACAACCATGACAATTAATTCCTGATATGTATCGGCCAATACTCCTGATACTGATACACCACGATCGATATTGTTACATGTTTGAATACCACAATTTAGAACCATGCTTCATACACATTGTTACGACCCAAACCCGCTCCTATAGGTTTAGCGTTGTAACCAGCAAGTAATCCTGGAATTACCAAAGGCCTTTGACCTAAATATCATATAAATAGAGGGGCTGAGGAAGTAAATATACAAAATGCAACGTCTATTGAGCTGTGCAGACATACATGAGACATAAAATTTAACTTAAATATATACATATGGCGTATAAGTCTTGCAATATCTTACAGATAGTATCATGAGGAACTTAGTCCAATGTACACATAACCAAAAATAAAACATAAACATCCTTGTACATGATTCATAAACATTGACTTCTACAAACAGGGAACCTCTCCAGGAGGCACAAGAGCTGCTGACAAAACCCAAGCTCCAGGTCATCAACTCTAGGCCTGGTCACGCATCTGATCACCTACATACATAATATAAATATAGTGAGCGGGAGCCTAGTGAATAATAACAAAGTAAAGGGTTTAATGAACGATGTCCTATATCAGATTTAGAAAGCAGAAACAGGTTCATATTTGTTTTCTTGTTCAAATCATATACATAAATCAGAGTTCATGCTTAATCATACATGGTACATCCATTAACGCTAACAGAATAAACACAGAGCATTAAGGGTCATAAAGGAACCTCCGGTACTGGGAATAGATAACATACTTAAGCCCTGGTATTGTTACCTCTGGGCGAGGGCTATGAGACCACGATATTATTACCTCCAGGCAAGGGCCTTGTGTTCATAAACCACCGTATTGTTACCCCCGGGCAAGGGCCTTGTGCTAAGGACGCCACGAATACTTTTCAATATATGGACAATCATTCATTGATACAGAACAGAGCATTTCAAAAAACAGATCATTGCTTGTCATATCATATAGGAAAATACTTAAACGTGAACATAGATTTACAAAGTTATTACTCATAGATGGCTCCGAAAACAGACAGACTGAGTAGGCAAATCAAATATCTTGTGGCACGTGACCTACACAAACATAATAGATATATGTTGAACACATACTCAGATAGTACTTAGCGTATTGCATTTCATTCTTAGTATGTTTCTAAGTTTTATTCTCATTATTATGTCTTAATCATAGCCTAGGAATGCCTAGGATGCATTGAGGATGCAAAAATGAACTTGAAAACACTTAGTCAAATATGCTGAAAATAGGGGCCTCGTTCGAGCGCAACTTCCTTCCCTCGAGCGGATGGTCAAAATGTGAGTGGTCGCTCGAGCGTAGCTTCCTTCGCTCGAGCAGTCTGTAAACTCTACAAAAGTACTGGTTGCTTGTTTTCTCCGCTCGATGGTCGCTCGAGTGTGAGACTGAGGTCTTCGCTCGAGCGCAACTCTTGTCGCTTGAGTAGTCTGCAAAACATGTAAACTTCTGGGAGCATGTATTCTATGCTCGAGCCAACTTTTGGTCGCTCGAGCGAAAGTTCAAAACACAAAGTGGTCGCTCGAGCGCAGGTTTTGTCGCTCAAGCGGAGATGCAAAATTCTGGAATTTCTAGATTACAGTGCAGGATGCAAAACATGAGTTGAAGGCTTCAAACTTGCTCCTTTGGGCCAAAAACTTTAGACAACATTTAAGAACTCATATATGATCATGAAGTAAAGATCATTTCACAAAATCAAACCCCAACAGCGAGTCAATTCTTCAAAATTATGCTAAACACTTATATATATCTAACATGCAAGCAATGTTATGAGCTCTTAGCTTCAAAGACATGAATAAATGAAATGATAAGTTCCAAATCACATTGAATTCTTAATGTTATGCAAATATAGACTCATGCATGTATGAATTCTTGAGAATCAACTTACAAATTTTAGTGAATTATGCATACATGCCTGAATTAATCCCCTGTACTTTTTCCTTAGCTTAAATCATGTCTTTAATCTTATATTCTTTTGAATTCTTACATTTGATGACTCAAATACAACATTAAGAGTTGAATTTCTTACCTAAACTCTCCAATTGGGCTCTAAACAATTAGTTCCTTGAAGCTCCAAGCCAACACCTCTAATTTCCTTCTCTCTCTCTCTCTCTCTCTCTCTCGTTTGAGCTCAAAAGATGAGGGATGAGAGTGTAAAGTGTGTAAGAGGTGTTAAGGGTGGCCTTATATAGGCTTTCTTAGGAAGTGTAATTAGTGACTAAATAAGTGACATTAATTATTCTAATTTAATTCGTTTCGAATCACATTTTACTCATACCTGCCGTAAAATTCTAAAAATTCCAAATAACACATAAATCAAGTCAATTTCTCGATCAGATGCCGATAAGGCCTTTAATTTGTAGAACAGAACAGAAACATAAACATATCTTTCTATGCTTGATAGATATAAACACAAATAATGCAACACATATGCATTTATTCAGAATTTCATCTTAATTACTTATTAGGCATCCTTACTCGTGGTTTAACAATTAATCATAGGTTAGGGTTGTTACACACACTCATGCATTATTGAGAAAAATATTTTGTTTAAGAATCCTATTAAATTATCGAATACTTTCAACGCACCTTACAAAGTCCAAGTAGAAAAAAGTGCACTTCTTAAAAAGCATAAAAAAATATGAACCACATAATTGATTGACACAATTGAAAACATATTATAAAAAAATTAAATTACAGTCTGTTGCCAAAACAATAAAGCTAAGACGACTATATGTTTTTATGACATTTTGCTACCACGTGAATATAATGAGTGCAACAAAGGTATCATTGTGCTCCATAGGTATCATTAATATTCCAGTAATAGTATAAACAAAATGTGAAAAGAAGAGATGGTAATCTTTGTAAGATTGGCAATCAAAGTCTTCTCTTCTCAAATTGTTGGCAACACCTTTCCATGAATAAACTAGAACTTAGTATTGACGATAATAAGTGCTGGTACTGTAATAGGTTTGCATGGCAGTGAAGACAAGGATCATGACTGCAGCAATGAGTGACATTGTAGTCCATGGAGTAGCAAAATATTTACTTGGCAACACTATTGCATATCCACGACACTTGACCTTCACTATTGCTATAAGTCTGCACCAGTCAAACCAAGATTTGGGGTAGTTGTTAACTTCCTTACACAACTTGGAAAAGCAACAATCTTTCAAAACAACTCTATCGCACATAGATTTGAAGAGAGCTGCAATATCACCATGAATGCCACCGTCACTGCCACTGCTACCGCCAATCAAATCATATTTTATGATATTTTTGTGATGAAGAATTTCAGCATCATGTGAGGAACTGAGGAGACTACTCATAAGAAAGACATATGATGTAATGCAATGTGTAGTGACAATGCTACATTGCTCAAAAGCAATCAGATTTCGAAAGATTGATTCTGTAGCTTTATGTATCCGTAATGCTGGCATTTTAATAACTCCCTTAAGGTATTTTATGTGTAGGAAAATTTCTTCGGCGTCAACATTGATATTGGGTTGAAATTGAATTCCTGCCTGTAAAAGTCCTGTGACACAATTTTTGAAGCCCGTTGTTTGCGAGGCTTGACGATCACCATCGTCATTGATATTGTCAGATATGGGGAGGTGAGATTTGTGCATGTTTTCAGGGCTTTCATCAGATGTGGGGAGGTAAAAATTGTGCAAGATATCAAGTAAATGCTCACCAGAGAGTTCCAAGGATGTACTTTGAATTGCTTGGTCACTCAAACCCAAAGCCGATTTGAAAAAGAGTAATGCTAATTTAGCCACATTATGCTCAGTAAATGATGTTTGTGGTATATGCTCTCTTATAGTGTCGAACAACTTCTGCAGAACAAAAAAGGGAATCTGGTTCTCAAGTAGTGCCAAATCATGTTGAAGAGTTACAACAGTCCGAGCATTATTGATAATCGGGTTAGCAACTTTGTCTTTATATTTGTCAATATTGGAGTGCCTCAAAAACAGTTCGAGTATGAAGCACCCATCAACTAGCAACATTTCAACTAGCTGGTGGTTATCCAGGTCTATAGTTTCTGAATAACATCTTCGGACATCTCCTTCCAAAGCTAGTATGGCGATGGCACACTTTTCGAGGATAAGAAGTGCAGGCTTAGATATTCTCATAAAAAGAAGTAGCATGTATCGCCGTTTGTTCTCATTAAAAGCTTGCAACTCTTTGTTATGATGATGAAATGGTCCAATGGAGACAATAATAGGTGTATAGGCATCTTCCTTGATTTTTACAAGTTTATTTGGAACTTTATATATACTCATCTTCGACGGCTTTTCCACTTCAGCTAGCGAGTTGTTAATCCTAAGTATCCATTCAGCAGGCTTATGTTCGGCCTCTTTCATCTTCTTGGCTTCCTTATCATTCAAACCAAAAACAAGAAAAGAGAAAGAAATGAAAGGTGTTATTATTTTTCTTATGGAAAAAATAAAATTTTATTGATCTAACACCAACTACAATGGTTGATAACCTCTACCAATTTAAATCACATCTCACAAAGTCTGATAACTAAATTCATTTAAATTTTATCACCATAACGGTCTTGTTTAGCAACTATATGTTTTAGCCAAAAAAATTAAAAAGTCATTATAAATTGTCACATCACTTTATCTACTTTTCTACATATTTTTTCTTAAAAAACAAAAAAAATTACTAAATTAGTTTGTTCTCAAACGAGACCAAAGTCTCGTAACTAAGTACCATATTATTCACTATCAAAATCACAAAACTTCATAGTTAGAATGTATGATTATGATACACCTTTGGAAAATGATATAAAAACTTACTTTCTAAACTTATTTTTAAAACTCTGTAATGTATAAAAGAGATGAGTAATAGATGATTACAGAAAACATCAGAGGATGGGTTGTGTTAAATTTTGTAATAGGCTGTCATATCATTAAATTATACATAAATATTTTGATCGGCAAAGTGAAAATTTCTTTAAAAATATGAAATTACAGGTATAAGGAACAGAAATGCACCGAGAGAGATTCAGAGAGGTTTAAAAATATTGTAGCTCGCATCTTCATAACCAATCCCTTAGCCTCACAAATTTTTTTTAAAATACAGAAAAAAAATGTTAAGAACTACAAAATCTTAGTTTTGAACTAAAGTAATGTACATGAGTTTGTTTCTGTATTGAGAACATTGAAAGCTTACTTATCTTGCTACAATGTTTTTTTTTTTTTTTCCTTCTTTTTTCTTTTATTATTTTATTATTTATTTTTAAGATGAATGGCTTTGTTGGTTCTAAAGAATTCTGAGGAAAATTATAAAGTCCATGGTAAGTACTCAGTAAAATTATCCATTTTTATTTTTTATTTTTAAGTTGAATACATTGATGTAGCATTAAATTTGATGTGGTGTTCAAAATTTAAATAGTTTTTAAATATTTTTGTATATATAAAAATGTACAAATTGTATACAAACAAAATTTTTATATAAAAGCTCAATTTAGAATGATGTAATAAAGACATTTTTAAAAGGAGGATCTCTCTAATCCATAATCTGCAGTGGAGGGTACTGTTTAGGCTTGTAGGATCCACAATTAGACCTATTTCGATTATTTGAATCATTCATTTTGTTGGGTATTCCGTGTATTTCATCCAAACAAAAAATTAGGAAGATATGATAATTGTAACATATTCAATTTATGTCACTAAAAAAATATATGATAATTATGTTTTTAAAAGTAAACTATTCATTTTTTATTTATTTATTTTTATTTTTATAATGAATGTGATAAATTAAGTAGTCTACGATTGTCCGATCAACCTAATTTTTTGTGTGGATGAAATATATGAAGTGCCTGACAAAATGAATAGTTCAGATTATTAAAACGAAATCCGTAATTGACCCCACAAGCCCAAAAAGCACCATCCAATAGGGATGTTAAAAAAAAAATCAATAGAATTGATAAATCGATCTAATTGGTCCAAACTGCTAGTTTGGTCATGTTTTTTAGTTTCAGTTTTAGTTCTGAAAATGGTAAAATAGTTCAAATTAGTCAGATTACTAGTTCCAAGGCTTTGGTTATGGTTCCGAATTGAACCGGACTGTGACATATTTGTTTATTATTTTTATATATAGAAAGTAAAAAATAAAATGTTACTTACAAGATTTGAACACTAATCATCATTGTAAAATTGATAAACTCTAATTAACCAAACTAATTATTGTTAATTTATTTACTAACATGAAATACATATTATATTTATTGTTATATAAAATGCTTATAACTGTAAAATCAAACCAGACAAAACTTGTTTCTATGGTCCGGCCGGTTTCTATGATACAAGTCTGGTCCGATTCTACAGGTTAATGGTTCGGTTACAGTTCAAAATTTTCTAAAATCATAAGAATTGGTTTGATTCTTAATTTGTTCTAAAACCTGACTAATTCGATCCGTGAATACCTCTACCGTCCAGTCCACTGCCTCCCTTTTAAAATTATGAAGCCCAAACAATGGAGAAGTTTTTGGTTGATCTAAGGGTAGCGCTATGTGGTATTTCATGTATATTGTGATGAGTGGAAGGAGTGCGGTTTACGATTTTGCGTTGAGTAATTGAAAAACAAGAAGATTTTGTGTTGAGTATTTGAAAAACAAGAAGGAACATAGTGATTTGTGATTGACCAAGGACTTAACCACATGGTACCACTGGACCAACCAATAATTTTTCCAAACAACGAGGGTTTTTTTTGTTTACAAACAAGTGGACCACAGTTCTAGAGGATTCTCATTCGAGTGATTCTATTTACACCACTACTTTACCTCTTTACACCCTTCCTATGAGTTTTTTTTTTCCTTCCAATTTTATTCATGTGTGAAATTACTTTTAAGGACAAAATATTAAAATTAAATATATTTTATTATCTCCTTACACCCATTAGTCTTTAATCCCTACTCCATTTTTCTTTTCTCTTACACATCTCTTTTCAAAAAGTGAGAATCATAGTGTTTTGATTATAAGTAATGGATGAAAAAATGGTGGTGAAGAACCATCAAAAAAGAGAAATGGTGAGTTTTGTTTATTTGTTTGGTAGGTTTTTGTTTCGTTTTTCTAGACTATTCTTCGACTTTTGTTTAGTGTTTCAAAATCGAACAAAATAAAATAGTCTAACATCACATTGTCAAACAAAAAATATAAGTTTTGTAACTAACTGCTGCATAAAAGATACATTTCCGGTAACCTAAGGCAGAACTTTTTAAATTTGTTCGGTTACTCATTACCATGTATTTTCAGTTTCATTTTTTTATTATATATTTTTATTTTTTTACTTGGAAGGATTATTGTTATACTCATTGCAACAACGCAAGTACTGCATTATTAGTGGACTTCATTCATGAATTCATTACAGACGATGTTTGTTAAGTGTTTTTATGAATATAGTTTTTTTTTTAATTTTTAACTTGTATTGAGTTTTATTAATAATTTAACATATAAGTGCAACTACTGAGCCTACTTAGATCATTACCATCTATTTTCCCGGCAATATAACACCAGAAGAATGTAAATTGTCTAGTATTGTATAACTGAACAGACACTTCATTGTGTAACCTATTTTTCCCTTGCTCCTTCTCTCTTTTCCATTCTTTTCCCTCCAAAAATTAGCGGTGTAAAGAGATTAGTTTTGGTAATATAATAGGGGTGTAATGAGAATCACATTTTTTTTGATGGTGTAATGAGATGAAGGGTGTAAAGAAGTAAAGTAGTGGTGTAAGTAGAATCACTCTCCTTATTCTTCTATATAGGAGTGTTGTTTTGCTGCTGTTTATCCTTATTTTCGTTGCTCCTAGTCGATGAAATGGCACCATAAAAACTGGCCACGTGTCTAACTAATCACGTCATCGACTGGACATAAATTTCAGACGTTGGTGGGCGAAGTTATTGGTTGATCTTGGGGCATTGTCCCATGCCATTTATTGAGGGATAAGTGTCTCATCGTCTTTCAAAAAGAGACAAAAATGTAATGAGTCCCACTGATTTAACAAATCCTAGCTAAGTTGAAGCATCACATCATCACTTTGCCCTTGTAGCAAAAAAATAAGAGAAAAGTTAGGTATCAAGAAATTTTTTTTATGAAAATGATCATGAAAGATTTATGATCCTTGGATTACCTTGATTAGTGTGTGGTGCTTTATTCTAAGTGTAATTCAAGAGTCACAAAACTTTTATGATTATTTTTATGAAAAGTTTTTCATGATACCTAACATTGCTGAAAAAATAATTTTTCCGTTGATGGACGTTTGCTCTCATTTGTGCCTCTTGTTTTGGGAATTACCTATTTAAATTTTTGATTTTTAATAAAAATATATGCAAAATATAAAGAAAAAAAAATTAACTTTTAATTAGTAACTTTTTTTATTTTTATTTTTTATATTTATTTAAAAACTACAAAGCAACCAAATTCTCTCTTATTTAATTCGCATCCAAGATTAACAATCTACCACCAAGTTATTTTGAATAAATTAGAGGATTTGATGAAGCACCCTTTTATGATGGACAATTCTTAAGTGTGCAAGTGTATATCATATGTATTTTTGTAAATGTGCAAGTGTAAATTACACATATTTGCAAGAACTTACGCGATTTTATAAGATAACTTATTTATATTGTGACAACTTATATAAATACATGTGGTATGCATCTTACACTCCTAAACACTTTCCTTGATGTAAGTCATCAATTGGAAATGTGGCAGTAAAAATGTGAGGGCATCAATTTTTTAAAATTTTAAGGTCAAGCGCAGCATATTTATATTTTAAATTTTACTTAAATAATCAAGTTTTTTTATGACAAAAGTATGTTTAACATAATTAAGTTACGTTTTTTTTTTTAAAATTATTATATTTGATTTCTGTACAAATATAGTTTATTGATTTGTTTAAACCAGGTTCATCCACCAATCACCCTATCAAAAAGCTTTGAATTTTTTTAATTTTTTTTATTATAAACATTTTATTTGATTAATAATTGATCTCATTAAAAATAATATGAGACCCATCCAATAGAAATCAAAATTCATTACAAACCTACTCCTTCTGGAAATGTGGCAGTAAAAATGCGAGGGCATCAATTTTTTAAAATTTTAAGGTCAAGCGCAGCATATTTATATTTTAAATTTTACTTAAATAATCAAGTTTTTTTTATGACAAAAGTATGTTTAACATAATTAAGTTACGTTTTTTTTTTTAAAATTATTATATTTGATTTCTGTACAAATATAGTTTATTGATTTGTTTAAACCAGGTTCATCCACCAATCACCCTATCAAAAAGCTTTGAATTTTTTTAATTTTTTTTATTATAAACATTTTATTTGATTAATAATTGATCTCATTAAAAAATAATGACCCATCCAATAGAAGTCAAAATTGATTACGAACGTACATCACAATCATGTTTCTCTTCTCAATATTCGAACCAAATAAAAATCAATAATTAAATAGTTGCTTGATCACACCTATATATATATAAAGAAAAAGATATATTTGACAGTATTGACAATAAAATTATCATGTAATAATTTAAACAAATAACACGTCGTTGAATATGATTTGTAAAAATTGATATATTTATATTTTGTTACGACGATAATATTTTATTAAAAATTCATTATACTTGAAGGTGGAAAAGATCAAATATTAATTAGCTTAATATCTTTTAAATAATATTTGTGAAGCTTAAATTTTTTATATGATCTCATCTATGATATTTTCTCCAGTCATCTTGGATATATTTATCTTCCTTGAAAGGTAGGATCCATTCAGTTCATGGGTTTAAACCTCAGATTTGAGAATATTTTCTTTACATTAAAAAAGTACAAAAAACTAGAAAAAATGATTTTTTTTTTTGAAAAAAACTTTTTTATTTTTATTTTTTTATTTTATAACTTTTTAACCTTAATTTATTTTCAAACAACCCTATCTTCAATTATTATTTTTCAAAACGTATTATTTATTTAGAAAATGGTAGACAATGTTACTTTTTAGACTAGAGATGCAAGAGAAGAAAGAGAGGGGGAACAAAGAGAAGAGGGAGAAGAAGAAAAGAAGAGATGGGGAATAGAGAGAGAGAGATACACAGATTTGTGTATACACACAGAGGAGGGTCGCGATGGGCGACGGTGATGGCCGCGTCTGTGGGTGGAGGGGTTTGCGACGATGATGATAGTGCTGGTGGGTGGAGGGTTTGCAATAGTGATGGCAGCGTCGGTGGGTGGGAATTCTGGCTCTCTTTGTTCCCCCTCTCTTCTCTCTCTCTCTATTCCCCCTCCCTCTTCTCTCTCTCTTCTCTTTTCCTCCATTTTCTCCTTCTCTCTTCTTTCTTCTCTCCTTCTATTCTCATTATTCTTTCTGTTTTAGAGAGAAAACATATAGAAAAGTTGGGAAAGAAGAAGAAAAGAAAAGAAGAAAAAAAAAGATGCCAAAACAACCTCGAACCATTCGAGCCGCAGGTTATTCAAGCTACTTAGCGGGATTGTTTTAAGTTAGCATACTGACTCCTATTTTAAAAAAGAAAAAAAAAGAAAAAAAAAAACAAAAGAAGAGGTTAGCCTACTGGGGTCTGCCCAAATAAGTGACTAGCACGAGATCCCATGTCTGTTAATTTTAATTAATTTCCTCTTTATTTATTACACAACAACTTTAATCTTGAGCTAGTATTGTTAAGTGAATTTAAAAGGGAAAATTAGTATTCAGGATAAATTTTTTAAAAAATTATTACACATTGATAAAAAAAAATTATAATTATAATTATTAATATTTATAATCTTTGTCACTTTTTTTTATACTTTTTTTTTTCTTCCCAATACCACTATAGTGTAATTTCTCAAATTTAAAATAAAAATATGTTGAAATATTTGTTTCACTTGATTTGTTATTATTATTTTTTTTAATAATTGGGTGTCCACTGTGAGAGGTGAGACATGAAATGCAAAATATCATAGCAAGTGTGAGTATTTTCTGATCATCTTAGATTACTTTTTAGTTTGTATATCTAATGAATTTATCTCATTTTTGTGAATGTAAACATTTAAACCGGACTGCGTTAAATATTATCCATTTCTTTTCTATAATTTTTTTTTATATTTATTTTGGGAATTACTTCCATTGATATATGAGTCAATATTTTAATAAAGAGTTTCATAGCTTTTTGGGAAATTTATTCCCAACAAAACAACCAAATAATGATATTTCTATACAATGATTGGGCCTAATCAAGAAGACCACACTTCAACCAAAATAATGATATATGGCTCAGAAAATTTAACATCTTAGAATCATATATCTCATGCTCTAAAACTAATAAGAACACTAAATTGTGCACATAATCTCAACTTAATATATCATATACACCTTGTTATGTATTTCATATTTTTGAATTATTTTTCTAAGTAAAGTACTTTCAAAATTGGTTTAAACATACGATTAAGTTATCGACAACTAATAAAAAAAACAAGTGGACAAAATGAAACGAAACATGCAACTCATGAACTCAAGAACCCATGATATGAATCAATACAAATCATGCAAGAAATCCTTAAAGCAAGAACAAACCCTACCTCAAAAGTATTTCAACCCTTCTCTTGTATTAATAGTGTTCCACCCTGATCTCCCTCTGACGTGGTCTTGTTAGTTTTTCAGTTTAGCCGCCAAGCATCTCGTTTGATTACAAAAGAACAAGAAGGTTGGAAGTTTATTGAGTGCCACTGAATATGGTGGTGAAAAGGGCGGTTGAGTGGTGAAATAATGACTTGGTTTGCCTCCTATGACATTACGATTGATGCTATTTATAGACTTGGATGATTTGGAGGCCAGATAAGGCACACTGTAATTGGGTGAGCACACTACAAACGTGATGCAATTGTTGGTCTTTGGGCATTATTTTTTTTGGTATTTTAAATAAATACAAAAAAATGTGGGAAAATTATGCAAAATAGTCCTTTTAGTTTGCACAATGTGTCAATTTGGTCATTGTAACTTCAATTTGCTTGATTTTGCTTCTTAATTTAACGGATTGTGTCATTTTAGTACAATAAATAACGGTTGTTAAGTTAATTTAACGAAAAGTCAAACAATGTGTCAATTTGGTGTCACGCTTCAAGCTCCGTGACAACGCCGCACACTCACTTAAGTGAGCATGCAAGGCTAAGAGTCCAACACATAACCAACAATGTAAAATACTCCAATTAAGTTCTTAAAAATCATAATGCTAAAATCCATAAAAATTGATTATTCTTATCGTATGAAATTGTCCACCAAGTCTACTAATTAAAATCCATTAACAAAACAATAATCCAAGTACTTAAATCATTGTCCTACTCTCGGCACTCCCATATGTAAAAATCCCGCGCAGCTCTACTCTTCAGAATCTAAAAAAAAATAAGGGTAAGCTAGATAGCCCAGTAAATAACTAACCATCACTGCTAGCTAGATCAAGTATACAAAAATAAATAAATAAATCGATAACCAATAAATATAATTTTTTTCTACAGTTCAATAAATGAACAATTATTTGTAAAATAGTTTCATAGCTAAAAATAAACAATGTACAATACATTTTAAATGAAAAGCCAACAAGATAATTCAAAGTAATTCGTTGTTCAAATCGATGGTTCGATATTCAGGTGGTTCAATGATTTGATTCACAAAACCCAAGTCTTAATGACTACGATCACTTAGCCCGTGACAAGGCCCAGAACCACACACAGGCCGGTGGTAAAGCCCCAAAAGAAACTAGTTTCTGTGCCAATAAATAACCCACATTGGCTAGGGTCCAAATCATAGTCAGACTAGAGTGATATTCAAAATTCAAACAATACACAACTTTTAAATAAAATATTCGATATTTTCAGAATAAACATTTGGTACAATTTTCAGAATAGTTTTACAAAATATTCAAATAACTTTCATAATAATATTTGATACTGTTTTATACTTGACCCATATTTTATTTTAAGAGAACAGGAAAGCTATGGATAAATATTTATGATTTTAAACGGTTCGATAGGAATAAAAATAAACCAACAGTGATAGAGGGTTACTTACCTTCAAATAGCTAAAATAATATTTTCCAAGCTAATCTCAAATTACCAAGATCCACCTCAATCTCACAAACCTAATAAAATATTACACCGCTTAAACAAGTATTATGTGCACCAATCCATCTCTTCTTGTAACAACAATAGAATAAATTATCCCAATAGTCTATTAGGAACTCCCACGATTTAGCGTCAAAAGGCTTCAGAAATTCTCAACCCATATTATTCTATTATTGTTTATATACATGTAAAAATTTGTAATTGCTTGTAGTCAATCATGTATCCCACAAATACACCACCATTAAACTTAACCCATCACATATCAATCTCAAAATATGAACCACCTAAACGGAATGCAAAATACACTCTAAAATTGAGCAAAATCGAGACCCGCAACATAGACTACATCAATATATCTATTTAATCATATATGCCCATAAAATCATCTATTGATATATTAACACCAAAATCATAGATAATAATACAATAAAATAAATCTTACCTTAAGTGATGAATAAAGAAAAATCACCACTCTATGAATCCTCTATCTTCACTTTGGTTTTGTTTTGTTTTGTTTTTTTTAATTTTTCTTTTACCTTCTCAAACCCTAGCCGCCTATGGAGCAATTCCCAGCCTCTATTTTGTTTGTTTCCCAAGACTTAAAGCCACAATATATAGGTGGACTTATTAACCTAATTTCTCAAAGTTACAAAATTACCCATCTAAGTAATAGAATGCCATCTCATAACTAATTCTTTGATATTAATAAATGACCCATATAAATTAATTTAATTACTAATCTATCCAATAAAATAATCCTACACACAACTTGGGTTTTACATTTGGTTCCTGTGTTTTTCACAATGTGTCAATTTAGTCCCTATCAGAATCGAGAAAATTGAAATTATAGGGATCAAATAGACACATCGTGTAAGGTACAGGAACCAAATTGACGCATTGTTTGACCTTCCGTTAAATTAACTTAACAATCGTAATTTATTGGACTAAAATGACACAATCCGTTATATTAAGGGGCAAAATCAAGCAAATTGAAATTACAAGGACTAAATTGACACATCGTGTAAACTACAGGGACTATTTACATAATTTACTCAAAAAATATCAAGAAAAACACCAAGTGGTCTAGATTCAACTTTTGCATGATAGAGCTCATACTTAAAACAAATTTGAACTATATATTATTTTTTAAATATTTTTCTATGTCTAAGTTCTTATAAGTTAATTTTTAGCTTCTAAAACCATCCGCAGAGGTAAGGTTTATTATTGGGGGTCTCTTTCAATTTGTGATCATTCAAAATTCTTAGAGATGCAATCATGTCAAAATTGAACTTTTACTTTTTTTTTTTTTTGTCATTAGAAACACTCAAAGAAGATGTCAAATGTATAGATGTACATTTCTGAGTACTTTTTAAAGTATATATATATTTTGAACATATGGTAATATTATTGTTGATATTTTATCTCAATATACTTACTTTGCTACTTTGGTTTACCTACATGTATACTTAAAGCCATTGCAAAGACAAAACTCTGGTTGTTGGAACAATGTAAGAATTTCATTGGATCACAAATGAATAGGCTTGCATGACTAAAAATTTTTTGTTGTTGAAAAGAGAGAGATTGTCATTTTCAAATTATCATTATAAAATCACATTAAATCCTACTCAAATTGCTGTAAAATAAATGGGGAATCACTCGAGTGAAAAAAAATACACAAAGTCTGTGGGGGTGCAACTCAAAATAACAAGATGAATTGGTTTGTGTAAATTTTTTTTTTTCCTGTCCGACAATTAGGCATTTGGTTCATAGATTTTGAGAGAGATTTAGAAAGGTAAAGAGAAAATATGTGTAAAATTAGATAAAATATAAGTATAATTTATTCACATTTTACTGTTTTTTTTTTTTTTCTAAATCTTTCTCAAATTCTTAAATAAAACATAGCCTTATGTGATTCTCCTAAATCTATTAAACACAGATCATGCAATCATAAAGTATTCTAGCTTAACCTATCCAGAGTTGACTTTTTAACTTAATTAAGTACTCACCTTACATGCCAAAATGTAATTTTTTTACCAGGAAAATAAAAATAAAAATATCAGCCTTGGTCATATATACACTCTATCTTCAGTCAACTCTTTTGGATAATTGCATTAGTCAACTTTAAGGAAATGACAAAACTATGATTTTTAGATGAAAATAAAATTTTATTTTTTTTACCAAAAAAAAAAAAAACCTTTTATTTTTATTTTCATCTTCAAAAATGAAAAGAAAAACTTCCGACGTGTGGAAATTGTGTACTATCGGTTTCTATTTCATAAAGCTAGTGGTGGATCTTGGCCGTTCTCACCTTTATTTTTTTGATAAAGTACATCATCATCTTTTTAATTTTAAAAACAATTTCCTTGAGGCCTCAAAATTTTAATTTTATCAATTTTATCGTCACTTTCTTTTTTTTTTTTCTTTTCTATGTAGTTATTTGTCATTATCAATTACTATTTTAATGAAAATTTGACATTCAACTTATGTGGACATTTTACCAATTCTCGCTCAAGAAAGAAAATTGAACATATTGTCTATAATTTTACTCAACAACGACAGATGTTTGAATTTTCCTACATATTAGTATAATAGGGAAAACCTCTGGTTTGAGTTTAGAAAGATTCGAAACGAGGTTGCATATGAGTTTGTCAAGGTGCTTTTATTTACTCTCATTGGGGTGAACATTAGTTAAGGATTATTTTGGGAAGTAGGTTATAACTTGATTTTTGATTTTTTTTTTTTTTTTTCACTTTTATGTTTAGCCATTTTCTTATTTTGGCCTTTTAAGTTTGTTTTTTTTTTTTTTTTTTTTTTTTTTTTTTTTTTTTTTTTTTTCCCTTTTTTGAATTGAGACACGTTCCGTCACTCGAAGTACGAAACGCCCCTCGTTTCCCGTGCTCGGGCTAACTCTTATCCCCAACACGATGCAATATGCACGACATGCATGAGATGCAACTAAGATACAACCTATCATGCACAATGCTAGGAAATGGCATACACGATGCACGAGGTAATATGGCATACACAATGCGCTAACATACGGCCTAGCATACACAATGTTATCAAATGAAATGGCATACACAATGCACAATGGACTTACACCAACATGAGTGGACCTCAGCCACACTCACATAAGAGGCCATTAGGTAAAAATGAGACACTCGAGATGCGTGCACACATGCATGCAAACCGAGGACCGAACCTAAGGCACAACATGCAACTCTAACTAGGCATTGCAAGGCATGAAATATGGTATACTAGCATGCAAATTTCAGTAGCAAAATATGATGCAAAACAGTCCCAAAACACGGAAACATGGCACCCGATGCATGAGACGAACCCCGAAACTCAAAACTAGGCATGCGCAATGACCTATAGCTATACAAACATACACTATTTGATCATGAAGCATGAAGACAGATTCAAGGAAGTCCCAAAACATGCATATTTATAGTTTATAACAAGGCCAAAAAGTGAACACAAATAGGGCTAAGTTAACATGCAAAAATGGGGCCAAAAGAGGGATAAAGAGGCAAGTGACAAAAGGAAGCCTCAAACAGTGAGGAGCCCTTCAACAATGTTGAATAAGGTCTCAAAATAATCCACTTTACAGTCTATAACCAAGCTCAAAACAGTTTACAAA